TTTTGCTGATTGCTATTGGGTTGGATCTTTAGACTTCAACTCTTTTTTGGAAATCAATGGTTTTTCCATTAAACCCACAAAAAGCTAAACTTTTTGCAGAGGGGTCAACAGCAACCAAGTTTGTGTGTGTGTGTGTGTGTGGGTGGGTGTGATCTGTTTCTTGTGCCATCTACTGAGCCCCCCAGATCCGAATAGTTGTGTCTTAAAATAGGGGACTGCACAAATTGCGGTGTCCCTTTGTTGTTTCTTTAGAATCAGCTGTTAAAGGGGTGCACCCAAGTATGGCCACTGCAATCCGTGCTAGTGGCCAGGTGCAGGATCTCTCTTTTACCCTGAATAAGTCTCGTGCGTTTCCTGCACTTTGGTGTGATCTTAGCCCCTTAGACCTTTTGAAAACAAGTATACGTAGTAGGCCAAAAGTGCTGAAACCTGCGGCAAGGTATGCCGCTAGAAACCGAACCACCTAGAACTTCGGAATCTGTTTTGGGCGCTGGCATGAAACAATCACCAGCTTTCAAACCTACTGAAGGTGATCGACCTTTTGCTCAGAGTTGTGGCAACTGGACCCAGGGAGTCAAATCACCATTGAAGCAACGGCTGGGTTCAAACTTGACCATATGTGGAGGCTCATAAGGCCATTCTCTATGGGGGGGTTAAACCCCAGGGCGTATGTTTAGTACTGGACCTACTGATGAACAAAATCCACTTCGCGCCGCAGCTCTCTGCAAACCATCCACTTCGGGTTGGAGCAATTCTTTGACGCTTGTTCTGCCTAGTCTCCCCCCCCCCCCCCCCGGTTAGCCACAATGGGTGTTTCTTTCGACGGGACTCCACCCGCCAATTCCGAAGCTGAAGTGCCTTTGGTCTTTTGGGTGAAACGCTGGGGGTCTACCCCGAAGCCGGCACAAGGCAAGATATGAACGAGGGCTCCGCGCTCAGATGCCAGGAGCAAGAGGCGAAAGATGGACATGTCAAATGGGGATGTTTGTTTGTGTGTGTGTGTGTTCGCGTGCGTGTGTTTTCGTGTTAAAGGCGTGCGTTTTGCCACCCCCAAACAGGCTTCCAATTTCTGCTAGGACCAGAGAGAACTTGGTACGTGGCATGGTCCGCAAAAAGGCTTGACGTAGGCTTGACACGTGGTTGGCCCTTTTCTAAAAGGGTGTTTGTTGCTGGCCCGTGTTTTCAGGGAAACCGGGCTAGGAAGGCGACTCATCAGGCTCATCAGTTTCTGGCAGGGTGCAATTTTACAGGGCTCATCAGATTTTACAGGGCTCTTCTGGTTTTCTGGCAGGCCTTGAAGATGGAGCCTCTTTGTGAATTTCACCAAAGAGCTGAAAGCTTTCGGGCCTTTGTGCAGATCGGCTGCGGAAAGGGTTCGGGCGTGCCGGCGGTTGTGGATGCCACCTGGGGCGATGTTTTTGTCTGTTTGCTCCATGTGTTCTCCAGAATCAGGCGTTAGTAACTTAGTATTTGCATGCCCAAAATGTTGGGTGTCTGGTTTTGGAGCTTTTTGCTTGCCTTCCGGCAACACCACAATCTTTGAGGGGTTCGACACACACACACACACAGACACAAGCTGGGCCTGTGGAGCCTTCGATTGGGAAAACACAAATATCAGAAAGCGGGTCAGCAACCTCACCGCAGGTTCTGTACTTATTTCAGGTGGACTGTTGTAGGCTTCAAGCAGATTGCTTGAGGCTTTGTTTGCGAACTCGCCAATAGGGGGCCCTTTTTTTAAGCGCATGAAACTGTTCTGAATCACTAAGACTACTTGAACTGCGTCTCTAGTGAATGAGGGGGCAAGCGCCATGGAGTGCGTTTGCGTCTAGATACTGGGCAACCGCCCAGAAGCGTCCCTACATATTCCCCCTTGTGGTCTGAATTGACTCATTTTGGGTCAGTTTAAAAGGTTAGTTTCTATCTGGTCGGGTGATGTTCAAAGAAAGGAAACCCTGACCCATGTTCAAATCGCCGCCATGCCCAGGACGGTTCCTCCAAGAGTTTTGCGACGTGGAGCAGATTGGCAAAGGCTGGTGATTGACCGCAAGACCGACAAAGAATCGTTGTCCAAATATTGATAACATCTAAACTAGTCGCATGTGTGTTTCTGTGCACAGTACCCTGTTCGGGTTTGGTTAACAACAACAACTACAAGCATGCAGGTTCAAGTCCTGTTTTGACACAGACACACAGGGCATTGACTGAGGTTGAGAAATCTCATGTGCGAGACACCACGTGCGAGGTCAGTTTGCATGCTCACCTCCTTTTCAACTGTGCAGGTCAGTTCTCCACCGTCTACAAGGCTGGCTGAAGCAGCTAATTGAGAACCGCCCAAAAGTGGTTCTGCCATTTGGCTTATTGGTTTGATTGCTGTTTTAGGTGGTTCGTTTCTAGCGGCACACCTTGCCGCAGTTTTCAGCACCTTTGGCCTATGTGCTGCGTGTGCACTTGCAAAAGGGCCGCGGTCAAAAGAGAGGTCCAGGTTTTGCGTTGAATACACCAGAAATGAAGCTTAGTTGTTCGGTCGTACCCTTTTCCCCTTCTTTTGCGGTGGCTGCCCCACTAAAAATGGTCTTCCCCAGAAAGGGTTCACTTTTTTTCCAGGGTCACTGAACAACTGAGTGGTAGGAAACAATCAAAGGCCCCACTGCCCAGGAACAGTTCTGAACTTTGATTGAATGGGTTAGGTTCCTAGGCATTGCCAGCCGGATCGCTGAGCTTCTTTGCACTCTTTGCCTTTTTTAGGTTTCCATGATTTCCCTTTCAACCAGCCAAAAGTTTAACTGTTTGCACAACTTCCAAGTTAGTTTGGTCGAGTTAGAACCATTCTGGTGGGTCCCTAATGATGAGCCCTTTCTGGGGCTTGTTGCATTATGTCTTGCCCGTGTTGACGTCCAAGGCTCCCGAGTTTTGTGTCACGCCACTCAAACGGCTACGACTTGTTGGGTGCTTTGGGGGTTCTCCCCGGCATCCCCGGGTCCAAAAAAATGGCAGGCGCGGAACCGTGTGGACCGGTGCCTCTATGCTGCCATCAGCCCCAGAATGGGGAGCCCCCATGGGCGGCCCCCAGGGGCTCACGGCGTAGGGCAAGTCATTCCTTGCATTGTGTGTGTGTCAGTGTTTTTGATGAAAACCATCGAGTCCTATGTTTACTGTTGGGTTGAACATCACCTTTTCAGTTAGACTAAATATCACCTTGTTGGCGCGCTTGAGGTGGATCCGTAGTTGGGATGATGTTTTGAGGGAATATACAAGGAACTCGGTCTTATAAAACCCCAGTGGATGGACAGATACGGTGACGCCTTTGGTCAAACTCGTTTGTTCTTGTCTTTCTTTGCTGGGTTGAATCTTAAACCTCCGTGTGTTGGTTGAGATGCGTTTCGCTGTAGCCATGTTTGCAGTACGGAATTGCACGACGACCCCTGGAAGCTTCTTAAAACCGTGCCATGCCGAAGAGTGTTGGCGCCGCCTTGACACCTGCAAAGCAGTTCGGTGCAGTTCGCTTGGTGCACGCTTTGCTAGCTGGTGCGATAGGCAGGGAATGAGAAATAGAATGACCCTAAACCATCCAACCGCTAACTGGTGGTTTCCTTTAAGGGGACCAAAGCCTGGGTTCATTCCCACATTCCCTACCTATCGCACAAGTTTGCAATGCTCAGAGGGAACGCAGCAGACAAGCTTCTGTAACGTTGTTTTTGCACTTGGCCCCTTCTCAACAGGAGAGCGGCAGGGAAAGCTAAACTTGTTCCCTGGGAACTGTAGTGTAGCATGCCTGGTTGGTTGTTAAACTTCTCGCGCAGTGGGCAAACAGCCATATAGTTTAGAATGACTCAGGCGGCCTTCTAACTTGGGCAGTCTTGCTCATCACGATAGCAGGAGTCTTTACAAAGTCTATAGCGAAAGCTCGGTGAATCAACCTACAAAGTCCCAGACTTGGCGGGAGCGCAAGGCTGAATCTGCTTGAACCCTTAGACAGATGTTTCCTTTTTAGGCACGTGGCACGTTGCAGCTTTGCGCGAATCCTGTTTTTGTGTTGCTTGTTAGCGGGAACCTTATACGTGTTAGGAAGATCGTTTTGTCGGCAAAGAAAAGTGCACTCGTGTTCGAGCCACCCACAGAGTCAGAAGTTGTTCAGATCAATGTGGATAATTAACTGGTGCTCCCTGCGCGCGTTTGTTGCTGGCACCTCATATCTTCTCTTTTCCCTGGATTTCAAACCACAATTAAAACAGTGGTTGGCTGAGCAACACTTTTGACTTAAATCGGGTCGAGTCGCATGGCCATTCTTTTAAAAGGGGCTTAACCCTAAGCCCAGTGCTTCCGGTTGCCACTGTAGTGGATGGGCAGGGCAAGCCATCATCTGAAACTTGGGTTAAACATACCGGGTTGCCTACTATATGGTAACTGGAAACACTGAGTAGGGTATACATGACCCCTCATCTCCTCATGCGTAGCTCGTAGTCGTTAGTGAGATGTGGCCAAAGCCCGACATGTGCGGGTTTGGGGCATTTACTCACCTCCTATTGAGATGGACAAAGTCTGTGGTGTTCCTTTCGTTTTCCCCTTGCTCGCACACCCAAACACGGGCAGCCGCAGAAAAAAATCCACGCGCCGGCTGGGGGGTGGGGACCTTTTGGGGGATCCCTCCGCCGCGATGCTTCGCCGTGCCTGGCTTCGACGCTTCGGTTTCGCCCGCAGCGTTCTACTTCATCAAAGCCATTGGACCAGAGAGCGCAAGGCAAAAAGGCGCGCGCCACACAAAGAAGCAGCCGTCCTTTGAGTCAGGAGTCAGGAGTTTGTTTTTGGCTGCCTTAACGAGACGACAAAAGATCCAGATGCAACGGAAGGTGAAGATCAGATATATCTGTTTTGTTTGGATATGGCATGTCCCCATGGCCTTTGCTGTTTTCAAGGCGACCAGTGCCGCCTTGTTCTTGTGCCAAAGTCGCCTTTGCGAGCTGCAGCCAACCCCCAGCCCCAGCCAACCCTCCAGCCCTACG